TCACGACGTTTGCACGCACACTTGCACATCGAGCACGTGAAGACCTTGCATCCTCCGTTTGGATGCGGCTCGCAGAGAAACACCTCCTTGTCGGCGTCAGCGCGGTCCGCGTTTTCTGGCATGCGACCACGCATTTTGCGGATCGCACGCTTGATGTAGTATCGGAAGACGCGGTATGCGCGGCAGTCGTACTTTGATGTTACGTTGGAGACGCGGATCGTGTCTCCCGGCTGAGGGTGGTTTACCATGCCGCACTGAAAGCAGACACGGCATGGTGTCACTGCGATCTCTCGCATGTGCGTTGCAAGCTTATTCCACGTCGGAGTGTCGACAGGCAGATGCGTCTCGTCGGCGTGCTCCGAGTGATTTGACGAGATCAGGTTGTTGACGAGTTGCAAGTGCTCGGGGGCTCGCGCTCGAGGGTTGTGCGCCGGATCTTTGACCTGACGCCTACGAGTTGTGCACACACTGAGTATACCAGATGCGGGTGTGTGGGCATGACACGGGGGGCATGGCTGACCATCGCTCCCAGTATTGGTCGACGTCACTCGAGACGACGATGAGACGCGGTGAGCGGTTGTACAGGTCGAGCTCGCCGACTGTCTGCTCGGAGTTGTCGAGCAGCTGCTCGATCTCCGCGCCGGTCCACGAGGGGCCAGGCGTCGTATTTGTCGCATCAGACTGCTCCTCTGGCGGTGCCAGGTTGAGAGCTGATACGTTTCGCTCGTCGCCTTCGATGGTAATGATGCACGTCGAGTTGATGTCATCTACGTTGTCGATTCGGGCTCGACGAGGGGCCGCCGTCGCGGTGGAAACGAACCATACTTTGTCACCTTTGTTCAGCTGCACGACTTGCGGTGTGCTTGGCACTCCATCGTCCGTCGCCGCATCAGCAGCAGCTGGCTCGTCGCGACATATCGTCGAGTTGGCCGGCAGTGGCGGGCGAGGGCGATGCATGGAAAGAGTTGACTTGGAAACGGTCGTGCTGTAGTCGTCGATGCGGATCGTGTAGTATGGCAAGTTGTCCCACGGTCGGTGCTTGGCTACGATGGTTGCGTTTCGAGGTACGCCATCGCGGCACCTGTAGCGCACGCTCTCGGACACCGCGAAATCCTGAAGGTGGCTGCACGCAGGCATGGAGTCTCTGAGCACGGCAAGACGCACGGTCTTGGAGTTCGCTATCTCCGCTGCACCAGGCGGAGCTGCTGTCCGGAGCCATCGTGCGACGTGCTCCGTGAGCTTGCCGACGGTCATAGTCGAACACACGTCTTCCAGCCGGAAACGGTCAGACGCATCGAGTGTGACCGCTGTTTCTCGATGGTCGTCGAAGAAGCAGAATCGCGTCGCGTCGAGCTGAAGCTCCCACGTCTGCGGTGCCTATGATGTGATCGTGACGAGACGAGTGAGTAGATTAAGATTGCGCGTGGTGGATCGATACACTGTCCGAGGCATAGGGTTTGTCGGTGAGAGTGGCGGGGAACGTGAGTGTGACGGCATGGAGCTGGTGCGAGAGCGCAGCAGAGGCGTACGTGTGGCTCGATGTTTGACTGTCAGCGATAGCTACCGTCTCCGAGTGTCGACGAGCGGGTATGCGTGTCATGGTGCGTGCGGGTGCTCGGACACGAAGGCGTCGGCGCTGTGAAGCTGTATGTTGTGGTGAGCGACGAGGCAGGCGGAAATGTCGGCGGCGGCGTTGAGGGGACGGCGGCGGCGGCAGTGTCGAATGTGTAGGTGACGTAGCTGGAGATAGTATCGGCAGAGATCTCTCGCAGAGGTGGCGAGGTCGGCGGCGGCTGAGGCGGTGGCGACGGCGACAGTGGGGGTGTAGTGGGCGCCGACGAGGGCGGTGGCGGAGCCGAGGGCTGTGGTAGCGGCGCATGTACAGAGGCTATCGACGGAGGCATCGAAGGTGGGGCCGAGGGCGTCGGCCGCTCGAGAGCGGTGACGGACGCGTCAGCGGTGGGTAAGGTGGCGGAGGCGACAGCGCCACAGATGGCAGTGACGGAGAGACAGCAGCGACGGCGAGGTGGCGCCGGCGGGGGTGTGGGGACGGTGAGGGCGGGGGGGGGGGGGGGGGGGA